CATGGAATCAGAACCAAATCCAGGGGAAAAGACTTGGGAGAGAGATGATGCCTGATCAACAGAAATGAAAAGCTTAGTTACCAGCAGTTTGGCCTGAAGTCTGCGTCCATCAGCTAACTCAATTTGGACCCAAGGGCTTGTGCCACAGCTGTGAGAGGGGAGGGGCCACGTATACCCCACTGCTCTGCTCCCGTAGAAAACCTCCACCCGGTCTGATGGGAACACAAAGTACCACAGTCACAGCATAATACAGGTACAAAAAAAGGAAACACAACTACAAAAGCAAAGGCCACGTGTGTCTTACTGGCATCATAAGACCTGGCCCTACAATTCTCATGGCACCCTAAAAGATCAAAACTGGCCAACCCTTTGTCACTGCAATGCCCGCTCTGAATAGAAAGCTATGGATCTTTTAATTAAATCTATTTTTGGAGAGACTGTGTTCTGGAGAATTACATATGAAACTCCTTTTGGGCTGTGTAGCCTTTGGAATACAGATTCCTCCCTCCCCCCTTAATTCAAGAAGCTGCCTATGTCTCAGAGTTATCAGGGCTACTCGTTAGATTTTTTGCTCCTCTAACTTAGGGCACATAACGGAAGGCAAGTAACTGAAAGCTCTCTGCAGGACATAAAATATTAAAGAAGTTGACCAGTACCTGCTACTGCATCTAGCTGTTTTGTGAGAGCAGACATAATGACATCGTTCTCCACTATATAACCCATGTCATCTAAGTCGTCTTTCTCAAAAACGATCATGGCTTCTGAACAAGCATCCCACACCTACAAAGGAAAAATACATTACATGAAGCTACACGATGAAGAAGTGCTTCTCCTTTCAGGGACTATGAACGTATCCATCTCAACAGGAAAGGAACATGGCGATCTAGAAATACCGAACTGGAGGAAACATCCAGGATTACTGTCTGTTCCCAGCAACTGAAGTACATCACAGAATTCCTTTCATACAATGATCTAGCTGCATCTCAGAAACTAATTGCAACAAAAGGTTTTTATCCCTACTTCTTTTCTACATAATTAGTACATAAAGCTCCCCTACCACCTTGCTGTGGGTTACCCCAGGAGACAGCTCAGCCTCATGCAGCAGCTCTCTCACTCCCCCACAGTGGGATGGGCAAAAGAATTGGAAACGTGACGTAACTCATGGGTTAAAATAAAGACAATTTAATAGGTAAAACAAAGGTTGTATGTGGAAGCAAAGCAAAACAAGGAATTCATTCACTATTTCCCATTGTTGGGCAGGTGTTCAGCCATCTCCAGGAAAGCAGGGCTCCATCACATGTAACAGTTACTTGAGAGGACAAATGCCATTACTTCAAATGGATGTACGTGTGTGTGTGTCCATGTGTTTGTGTGTCTGTGTCCTTTCTTCCTTTCGCCAGCTTTTATTGCTGAGCATGATGCCACGTGGTGTGGGGTATCCCTCTGGTCTGTTGGGATCAGCTGTCCCTGCTGTGTCCCCTCGCAACTACTTGAGCACCCCCAGCCTTCTCACTGGTGAGGTGGTGGGAGAGCCAGAAAAGGCCTCGACTCTGTCTAAGCACTGCTCAGCAATTGCCTGTTATCAACAGCTTTCATCACAAACCCAAAACACAGCACCATACAAGATGATATGAAGAAAATTAACTCTATCCCAACCAAAACCAACACACACCTTTACTTTTATTTCCTGGCAAGAACCTCTGCCTCAATATCTACAGCTTCCATTAAGAATAAATGTTTCATCTTGTAACATCAAGACTCTGAGGGTGGGAACTTGCGATAAGACTGCTACCCCAAAAAAAGTAACAGGAACCCTCATAAGCATAACCTGCCCTTTACCAAAGTAAAAAAAACTTTGGATCATTAATGTAAGTACTTCTAAGAAGTTACAAGAGACAGACATATAGTATATTTGCAGCCCTAAGTAAGGCACCTGCATTCGCTGGAATGGTTTGAATCTCAGGCTGCAGACGTGATCCCAGGCACCAAAACCTGAAAAAGGACACAAATGCATGGAAATACAGGTTCACATCTGACACTGAGACCCAAACAAAACTTCTCCCTCCCTGTCTATCTATGTCCAGACTCTGCCTGCGCCACCCCTAGACAGGGCCAGGTCTGCCTCAATACTGTTACAGCTCCAGCATCACATTGTTTTACTGTTAACACAGGCCAGCAGTAAAGAATCAACTGCTTTCCATGGACAACATGATTTAACAGTCAACTCTTTCTGCCCCATCACTGAGAATAAAACAGACACAAAAATGCATGGCCATCATTGTTTAAAACATTCCTTTCTCCACAAGGAATCAAGGCTCAAATCTTTAAAATGAAAATTAGTCAGAAGTGAGTTACCACACTACAGAGCACTAATTATGTGCATCTTTTGTGAACACAGAATTCCAGATGGTGTAGATAGAGCACCTCACAATGTCCTGCTGGGCTAACGTCACAAATTATTATGTAACAGATCAGACCAGGATACCAGAAAATAGATCCCTGTTATCAATTTAATTTAATTAATCGCCACAACTCAGCATACAGAATACTGAAAGACAAAGGCACACAATTCTGTTGAGCTTAGGATGAAGGCAGCACATGTTCAGAGGGGTTTTGTCAATATCAAATTGAAAGCAGCTCAAACATACTGTTGAAAACACAAACAGTAGCAAACACACTTACTGCTTAGGAGGGTTGCTGACCCTGGGGAGATAGAACTGACCCTGTTACTGTAGGTGTCTGGCACATGGTTGTATTCTTTCCGAGGACCAGCCTCCAGCAAAGCGATCTTCTTATCATGGAAGTGGATATCATGCCCTAAAATAAGCAAATACATGCTTTGCTACAATGTTCCTGCCAAAAATCTCATTCCTTATTCCTGTATCAGTAACAGCTACGTTTCTGTAATAAGATAAGAGTAGTTGCAAAGCTCAATAAGGAAATGCATTTATGATACAGGTTTTGACCAGGCAAGTAAACTTCCATATTTTAAAACTTCCTGACTACAATCCTGTCACTGAGACAGACAAACCTTTTGCAGTTAAAGCATGGATTAAAAGTTTTCTTTTTGCACAAAGTTCACATTTTTGCACAAATTTGTGCCTAGCTTGTTATGCAAGTTCATTATTAAAGTATTAATAGGCAAAGTCTGCAATGCAACTCCATACTCAGAACACATTTTTCAGAGCTTAAACATAAATTCACCACTTAGAACAGGAGATCAAAATAAAACTTCTGTGCTCCTTAGCAACTACATTAATGTTTTCTTTATCCTTATATGCTGATAGTGGGATAGCACTGGCAGTTTAGACTTTCACTTTCAATTAAAGAGAACTGAAAAAGAATAAAGAGATGACTCAGTTAGAGTAAATCACACTAGCTGACTGAGCCATTCTTACTGCATCTGACTGCTGTGGCCACAGAACGGTGTCCTTAGAACATGCAGTTTGGTGGTACTGCAGCCTAATAATGGGAGTATCCTGATCGTTTTCTAGATTATGTATAACATAAACTCAACTCTTCAAAGGTCTCAAACCTGCATTTTAGCCTCAGGAATCGCTGCTGGGGGTGGGGAATCCTTGTGCTGTTTCATTTCCACTGTGGTCAACAACACAAGCACAACAGTAAGTGTGCAAGGTAAACCCTTACACTTCCAAAGCACTTACTGCTCAAGACCTTTGCTCCCCATCTACTTTGCACTCTTTTCTTTAGGTTTCTGTCACTGTGACACCTTCTGAAACAATGTTACAAATAAACTGACACTACTGTCAGGATCTTTAGTGATACAGAGCAAGCACTAATCCATTGAATGCGGTATTCCAGTGTTTAAATTACAGGGTTAGAGAATAATTGATTTCTCCAAGTCAAACTTAGAATCAGAAAAACATCTTCATCAATGGCTGAAATTACGCACTGGCAATTCAGGGGTGACTGTGTTTGACAGAATCACAAGTAACCTACAGAATTCAAAGTAATGGCTACATTAACATATAAATACATACACACACACACACATAAATAGGACATGGCTCATCACAACGATCAGCTAAACAAACAGCTCCAAGTCTGCTTTTAGAGTGCTGTCACAAGAAGATGCAGGAATAAGGAAACTACAAAAGGATCCTTAACATTAAGATCCTAAGTGATAACTACATAGTTACCTCACACTACCACCAACACAGATTAATTAATTAAGGTCGAATTATAAAAGCAGCCGATGTTCCACATGGTGACCCGTGTGGGTTTTGGGAAAGCCCCGGTTTGAAGTTTCGGACACAAAACCCACGACTCGCTGAACTCGCACAACGTGGTGGAGGAGACCCGAACACCTCAGCGACCTCTGCAGCAGGGGCGGAAGGGGACACCGCCTCCGGCTGCGCGGCCGCGACTGCAGCCTCGCGGGGCCGGCAGCGGGCCGGGCCGATGGCACAAGGCAACACCGACCGCGGAGGGCGGGAAGGTCACCGGCTTACCCAGCACGGCGGCCATGGCGCTCCCGACCATACCCCCGCCAGACACCACCACATCGTAGAGCGGCGCGGCAGCAGCAGCAGACCGGGATAATAAAGGAGCCAGCTGGCCGGCCAACAACCGCCCACCGAGAGGAGCCATGAGGCCCCTCCCGCACACAGCAGCCATCGCTGCGGAAGTGACCGCACACCGTTGAACGGAAGTAGCTCCGGGAAACCATGACAACGCAACGTACCCAGGGACACGCACCACACGAAATACCTCTTCCCAAGGGCCAATGAGCGAGCAGTGTGCGCTTTCCATATTGGAGTCTGATTGGCTACTGAGGCCAAAAAGGCGGGCCTAGGGCGCTGCCGGCTTCGCTGATTGGTGAGAAGCTGTTGGAGGACTGAGGCGGTGGCTGGCAGGTGAGGCTCGATCTTGGCGGTGGGGTTCAGGTAGCGCGGTTCAGGTAGCGCCGGGAGGGCGGGGGTTGGGGTTGCGCCCGCGCCCTCGAAACGAGTCTCTCTCCATTTTGTTCTTTTCCTTCAGGTGACACGGCATCCCCTCAGGCTTTAACGGACCGACTGCTGTGCCTCCTGCCACCGAGCGAGGAGCTGGGAACAGCCTGTCGGGATGGGGGGCCAGCAGTCTCCGCTAGAGCCGGGCTTACTGCACCAGGCAAAGTTATGGAATGATCTCGGGGTATCCGAAGAGGATAAGGAGTTGGAGGGTTTTAGGCAGGAGACAGCAGTCCTGTGTGACAAGCTGTGCGAGGCTGTAAGGTAGGATGGCAGAATGGCATGTGGGAATCCTACTGCTTCTAAAGTGGAGCATGAAGTCCCAAGATGCACATATATAGTATCAAAACACTGACCAGAAGCATATTCACACAAGAGAGGATGGGGCCAATAGGTGGCCAGATAAGCAACGTTCACATAAAATGTGAACAGCACAAATCCTGTTCCTGCTCGTCACCTAATCATGCTTAAAATTTGCTAGCAAGTCACACACATTTCACAGCATCCACCATTGAGCTGTGGTGTCTCCAACACAGAGTTTCCAGACTTCTTGTCTTTCTCAGTGAAGTTCACTAGCAGGTCACACACACATACTCTTACAAAGGAAATAATGTATGACGAACAGAGTGCAGCAATCGACAGGCAAGTGTATGGACCAGGAGCACATTTACACATGACTGGCACCTTCTGTTTCCCCCCTTTTCCCCATTTTCCTGTACTTGTTCCACCCTTATCCATCTCAATCCTTCATTTCACCTGCATTTATTCCTTCCCTAAATATCTTGTTTTACTCTGTTTCATAATCACTCTCAAACATGCCCATAGAAGTTCACTATTTCAATGAGACCCAGGACAGTCCTGGTTTGTTTTTTCTCTTGCAATCAATTATATGGTCTTCCTAGTTACAAAGTTTCCAGCTGAACCTCTTAAGAGTTGCACTAATGCAGTTCATTGCAATGGCTTGTCATCAGCATCTTGGGAATGCTAGTGTTTGGTGCAGTTTGTTAGGATTTGTGTGCCTAATTGCCTGTCCTAAGTTTGTCTTTAACGTTAAGTAGCTATCAGCCAGATAACCAGAAAGTTCCAACTTTAGGGATTACTTGTAGCTTTTTTTGGCAATACAGTGCTAGCAGCACAGTAAACTGCATTACAAAGCCAAGTAAGCATAACCACCATTCCATACATGGAAAACAGAAGCAGGCAAAGCTCTGCTCACCAACTTTGATAGTAAAGCAAAATATAGAGCCTAAAAATGATAAACGTTAAGCCTGTCTTAACTACCAGATCAGCTACAGTGTCTTTCTTTTAATCAACAGTGTCTCCTATAAAATATATCTATTTTGTTAATAATTTCACTTATTTCCCCTTCATGATGTCTTTGTTTTAGTCGTACATCTGGTAACAAAAAGCAGTCCAGTTCTTTGACTGACCTCACCTTGGACAGTACCTGGGATCAGCAAAAGCCTCCCTTGTTTCCTAAATCCCGCTTGAGGCCAAAAAGTGCTTCCTCTCCCTGGATTCCTTCCATCACCATCCCTCAGCCTTTCAAAATGACGCTGCGGGAAGCTCACAGAAAGTCCCAGTTGATGAAGTCATACATGTTTCTTGAACTAGACAAACAGAAAGACCAAAGGCAAAGCCAGGATGAAGCTGAATGTCAGAAACAGTTTCGGGCACAGCCTGTACCAGCCCATGTGTTTCTGCCCCTTTATCAAGAAATAATGACACAGAATGAGATTCGCAGGCAAACAGCAACACAGAAAAGAAAGGAGCTGCTACTTTCAACCCTGAGGCCCTTCAGCTTCCTGGAGAAGGAGGAGAAAAAGAAAGAAGCTATCAGACAAAAGTTCCTGGCAGAAGCAATCCCAAATGACAGCTCCAAACAGAAGCAAGCCAGTAAAAAACTTCCTAAATCTACTTATGGCCCACTTCTTGGAGATAAACTCAAAGGTAAAATGCCAGGGCTCTTCCTGTTAACTCCCTGCCTGTCCCTTGGTATCTCCATGCTGGGAGGTAGGATCATGGCTCATAGCGCATTAGCTGGAGTATAAAGCCAGTGTCATTACATCTCCTTGTGTTGTTCAGTCTCCTGCTTATCACTTGTCCTTGCATTTCATCTAGATACCTTTACAGTAGAGTGGCCACAATTCAGTAGTCTTGTACCCATGGCAGCAGCAGCAGTTCTGTGCCACTCCCCAGATATGTGGGTACAATGAGCTCTTTAGACAGATTTCCATACCCCTTGTCCTGCAAATCATGCTTGCTTGGGAATCTTTCCCTGCACTGGATTCCATACCTTTGATTAATCTAAAGGGACATAAATGATTTGTGGCACAAATATGAAGACAGATGTAGTACCAGAAGTGTCCCAAGGTCTGTGCAGTATCTTGAAACTGACAATTTTAGTCCCATTCAAGTGATCTGTGCTGCACAGGATTCCTAAGCCCTGCACTTCCTGAGCCCAAATGAGGCTGTTAGTTCAGTTTTAAAGTGATGGTGCAGTAATCAGGTCTCTCCTGCCATTCTCTGATGTTTTCAGTTACCTTCCCACTTGCTCTCCACCTTCTTAAGTGCTAAACCAGTGGAGGTAGGTATCAGGACCATTCTGGTCAGAGGAACAGCCAAGGAAAATTTCCTGGTGCTCATATTCTTTCAGATGGCTTAAGGTCCCCCCTAACCTGTTGTAAGTTTGAAGCAAGCAAGTTTGAATGCAGACTTCATGCTTGAATATAGGAACTAAACCCATCCTTGATAATTCTTACTGCTTTTCTCATCCTTTTTTCTTTTTTTTCACCATTTCCCACTGATTTCTTCTTGAGTACATCATGTACATGAAAATGAACACCAGTTCATTTTTCATCAGAAAACATTCTGTAATAGATTAGAAAGGTGAAAGAGAGCGAAGGACAAGCTACTGTTCTGTTTCTGGTATATGGGGAGGGAGGAGGAATGAACATTTCATACCTCAGTCAGTCCAAAGTTATAAATAGATTCAAAAAAAAGTCTTAGTTTGCAAACAGCAGTATTGATTTATTTTCTTAAAAGCAAAAAGCCACCCCAAGGCAAACTGTCTGCATTTTTACAAATGTTTAGTGCGGCACAGGAAAGGAGTCACTTGAGACTATACATTGAAACCCATTCTTTCTATGGAAGTTTGTCACAGAAGTCACAAGACATGATCCATCCACCAAACGCTCCTCACTTAAAATCTTTTCCAATATAGACAAACACTGCTGAATCTTAATATAGAAAAGGCATCATCCGCCACAAGTGTATCTGAACAGCCCACATAGATCACACAATCAACATAATCACATAAAGTCCCAGGTGAACCTTGATTAACACAACAATCCTGCGAGACAAAGGGCACAAGTTGCCTGATATCCCTAAGAATAGGAATGGGAGGAGAAGGCCTGTCCAGTAACTTACTCAGATAAGTGAAAGATACCTGGAGATTCATACCTTAGAGACTCTGCCAGGTTTTTCCTAGTTATCTGTGTTTGGTTTTTTTTCTCCCGGGAGGCAGAGGAGAGAGGCTGAAAGTAGGGAAAGAGAACACAGAATGTCTGATCTCTCCTACATGCATAGCTACCATCATAAAGAAAAGTTTACGGTTATGCAGTGGCAATTTCACAGCCTTTTATGTCACTCATATTCTTCTCATTGCTTTTGATTCATTAGAAGCTGAACTCTACAGAGAAATACGCATTCAAATGAGAGCAAAGGATTTGCTTGAGAGCTCCGTAGCTCCTATAGATACCAGCAACTATCGGAGGGAGCCTCAATCCCGAACTGCTGCTAAAACTCAGCAGGAAAGACTTGGCTTCTTGCAGGACAGAAGTTTCAGCTTCAAGCCAAGGATTAATCCAACAATACCGGATTTTGAAGGACTCTACTGGGCATTTCAGAGGGAAGCAGTAAGAAGACAAGAAATCAAAGAAGCAACTCATAATAAGCCATTCAAGCTGAGAACTTCCAATCTCCATGGCAGGCAGAGGCAGGCTAATGAAAAGATAAAGGTGAGATGACTGGATAGTTCTGCTTTCTCTCATCAATACAGCAACTTATTAAATGCATAGCATTTCTTTAATGGTGGTTAATGTCCTGTGACCTCCATCCTTGCCTTGGGAGTACTGCAGAATTGTGGGACAAACCAGAGAGCAAAATTCTAAACAGAGATAAGCTATGACAGCTCAGGCTCAGCCACCCTTCCACACTCCTAATCATGTCTCCTTCCCCTCAGCCCCTCCTCATATAAATTCCTACTGACAGGAAAGAGAAGAATGAGTCCATTGCCACATATCCCAACTGTTCTCTCTGGGGGAGGAACAGAGGAGATTCTGTGCTGTAAACAAATACACTGAATGAATTTCCTTTGGTTTTTGTGTGTTTGTTGTGGTTTTTTTTGTTGTTGTCTTTTTTCTCCCCAGGATTCTCAGCAACTGTCCAAGGTTTTAGTGAAGAAAAGGCATTCTCCGTCTGGACTTTCCTCTCTCTCTTCCAATACCCTTCCAGTGCATATTACAGATGCAACTAGAAAAAGGGGATCAGCTATTAGGTAAGTAGAAAAGTTTGTCTACAACAGCTAATGACTTGATTTAGGAAAACGGTCAGTGTCTTCCCTCATCACACCAACTACATCAAGAATACATTTCCTAAATGTTTTTGTCTTCGTTCTTTGCTAATTCTTGTTCTCCCTCTCAGTTGACTGGGGAGCTGCGCACTTGTGTGTCTGAAATTTCGCTTTTCTCCTTAAAGGACTACAAGAGTGAAGCATGTAGTCTGGCAGTCTAAAGTGAGCTCATTAGTAACTTTTTTCTATATAGATGCTCCCAAGATAACAAAAAGGAAGGAGACAAAGAAGGAATTTATTGGCTAGAGAAGCAGAAAAAGAAATGTCAAGCTATGCAGAAGTCAGTGAACAGCCGAGCAAAAGCCCTGGATCCACATAAAAGTCTGGAGGAAACACACAAGAAGTTAAAACAGAACTGGTCAGTATTCTATTCTTCAGAGAAATAATAATTTGTTCTACTAACTGGGGTGCATTAGATAATTCTTTAGGAGGACTTGGATCTAAGAACTTTCCTAGCCTAAGTTTTTGACTGTCATACCCATTCCACATCCATTTGTGGTATGGGATGTGACAACCCCACACTATTCCTTTCATATGGAACGCTTCCTTTAGACTAATGTTTGTAGAAACTCATTTGTACAAACAAGCCAACTGAAATATATAGTTTGGTAAAGCACACATAACATTTTCTGAAGATGTGAACATTGGTTCTCTGCTTACAGTCTAATAGGTAAAGCTTTGTAATGGGTCTGTAATTTGCCAACAGTAGGATTACTTTTGCCCACATTCAGAATCAAGAGAACTACCAGAGCTATTTGAAGGACAGAACAGTTACTGAGATTCCTCATTCCTGATTACATACAGTCAGAGGAAACCTCTATTATACAGGCAACTTTTCCATTTCAGGCAAAAAATGAGAGAGAGAACAAAGGAATACAGAAAGGAGTTGGAAGAAATGCAGCTACGAGTCAAGAACAGACCATACCTCTTTGAACAGGTCACCAAGGTAACGGGTCAAAGTTCCAGAGTGTTTCTGGGCAACAGGATACATTGTCTTTCATTTAAAACAGGTATTAAGAAATCTAGTCTCAAGTTAGTTCATGGATAAGGAGATGCACATGTTTGCATAGGCTCTTCACCACACTCAAAATAACATATAAGAAGGCCACCCGGTTTAAATTCCTTCCCAGCACTTGAAAAACCACCACTCAGAATTATTTCTTGGTCGTAGCACTTTCCAGTATATACGGCAATCAAAAGACATGGTCTGATCAAAATCAAGGCTTTATCACACCAGAAATTACATGCACACCTATTCTGTACCTGAACACCACAGCCTGCAGTCTATTCTAAACTTTTTTGCTTAAAACCCTCTCCAGTTGAGCACTTTTTCTTTGTACTTCTAGTGCTACTAGAAAAAACATTAATGACAGTTACTTAGCTTGTATCATATGCAAGCTCTGCTCTCTGGGGTTGCATTCAGCACATCTCATCAATCACACAGGATCAGCTGCATATGTGTATTGTACTTGAGGTGTAGATACAATCTTCACTCTAAGTATCGTTTTCCCTGGGTTTTCCCTTTCAGTTCTGTCTCCTTGCAGGGATGGTATCTGGTTACAGACACAGTGACAATACATTGACAATATGTTGATTTAGGATTTCTCAATAGAAAGTACCCTCCTCGGTCAGACTTTCTGTTCAGATGAGTGGTTAATGAAGGCAGAGACAAATCTGTATGATAAATATTGGTAACATTTCTGTTTGCCAGGTTGATAAGAATTCACCAGTACTGATAGCATTCACTCGTGTCAAGACAAGGTATCTATCCTTCCATACAGAGTACCTTAATCTTTAGGAACTGGCCAGTCCCTCTGGTAAATGGTCATCTCAGACTACATAAATTTGCAAGGGTTATTTGGAGGCAGTGAGGATATAGTATCCAGGATGCTTGGTTTTCAGTTTCATGAAGATGAGCTGATACAAAGCTATTTGACAGATGCTCTCCATTCACTGAACTTCACTGTCATTAGTGCTTACAAATTACAAGCAAACACACTTTCAGAATTTCTCACAATACTTTTTTGCACATATTCTCAATTCAAGTGTAAAAGGTCAGGGCTCAGACACAAGTATGTTTCTTTGGTAAGACTGGAATGCTGTAGAAACAGAACAGAAGAAGGAAGAAAAAAGAACAGAAGCAAGAAAAGGTGAGCTCTGGCTTTCAGAGGTGTGAGACGTTTTCCTAGTATTCAGTTTTGGTACTGTATGGCTAAGAAATTTTTGGATTGGACCTTAGCTGTCCTTTTGTTCTCATTAGGGGTGTCAGCCATGAACTTTAGAACGATTGGACTGTTATGAGGAAGCCCCAGCTCTACATGCTTACTGTTTTAAGTTTTGATTTCATAGCATGATGCTCGTCAAGGAGCAGAGCGTCACTACAGGCAAACTCTCCAGCAGCTAGGGCTAAGCGAAGAATTTGTAAGGAAAAAAGGGAAAGATGCCACTGACCTGCTGAAAGAAGACTCTGATGTTCACAGGTAATAAAAACAATGCAATGCAGCTCGTTTGCCTTTTACTAAAAATATTTTCCTTGCTCCAGTTTGTATTGTCTAGTGTTGACAAAAGCAAATCAACCACATCACTTCTCTTACTGAGCATCACAGCTTCTCGTAATTCTTATGGCTGCACTCCATTTCTTATGCATGACTGATTAACAGTCACTGTTTCTGCAGAGTGCCCAAGCCTCGGGGTGAAAAGGACACCTGTACTGTACAGGGAGGAGAACCTCAAGAGGAACAGACTGGAAAGGAAATGGCAACGTAAGATCTAGCAGAAGAATCCATCAATCACCTCTTGATTATCTTGATTCTCCAGGTTAATCTTCAGGAACTTTATGGTTTAGGCTGACAAATTGCTCTGGGGTGAGATGTGAGAACTTAGTAAAGAAAAACAGACTAACTGCTGTTCAGAGCATGTCTTGTCCAATCCAGCAAACCTTGTGCCCTTAGTCTTCACAAGAGTTCCTTTCTTTAACAGGCAACACAACAAGTTTAAAAGGTTGAACTACTATCTTTGGATAAAAGTAGATATGAAAGATTGAAGAGGTGCATCCTCTAGTGTCAGCTGCTTGTATTTGTGCTACAGAAGCACACAGGAAGGGGAGAATACTTTTCAGTATGCCAAACGTTGGTTTGCGTATCTGTGTGGTAGAATGCTGTTAAACAAGGTATTTCTAAAAAAAAAAACCAACCAACCAACCAACCAACCTTGGGAGAAGACTCAGAAGGACGTCCTCCCCTGGTGTTAACTCTGTTCACTGGTTACCAGCTCTGCTCCCTCCTCCCATTAGGAAGAAGCAATAGTCTTTATTAAAAAATCTCCCATATGTCATTATTTGAAACTGTTTTAACATCTAACCAATTTAGGCCATTCATTTAGTCTGAAAGACAACCAGAGTTATGAAAAACGTAATTAAATAATGCATCACTTTGGATTACTATTGTCCTAATTCTATCATTAATGTGATATCAAGGATTTACTTGAAGAAAGATTAGGTATTACCTGTCAGCACACTGCACTCAGATGCCTGGCACATCTTGAATGGTACAGTTCACATATTACTTGGCTTCCTTTACCTGACAGTAATAATAATCCCAAGAATACAAACCCTTGCCACCTGGAATGTTTTCTGAGAATTATGGTATCAAAGCACTTTGAGATTAAAAGATTTCTAAATGGCCATTATGTTTCTGCATTGTCCTATTTCTTTATCAGTCACCTTTTCCTCACTTTTTAAACAGAAACTGTGTCTCTTTGCATCTTCATCATCTCAATCCATTTCTCCTTATGCTATAGCAACAGAACCCCATCATCAAATCCAAAATACAGTACCTGTAAGAGTTACTACATTAGATAAAAATAGAAAAATGAGATGCTGCCATTTTTAATCTTAACAAGGTACTAGGTCTAAGAATTTAAGGCCCTGAGGTTAGGGCTGCTATGTTATACTTCCACTGTTGGAAGATTTGCTGGACTGCAACAGTGCTCCTTACTGTCTTCATGCTGAGAAGCGGCTTAAGCACCTGGGAGGGTTCAAGGAAGGCTGTTACCAGTGCACTGGTATCTATATAGGTTTGATGGTGCAGGGCACAGGCTGTTCTTTCTCCTGTATCCCCTGGAAAAGCACAGTGAAGTAATCATTGTCACTATGCCTTGTCACGTTGAAAGAGGAAGGAAAGATTTCTTGCATGTCCCAAGTCTCCGTGGTCTAAAGCCCACTGAGCTTGTATGGGTGTATCTGAAGCAGTGGGAGTGAAATTCGAGCACATATATTTTAAGGGGTATTCAAAAATTGGTGGCTAATTTCCATAATACTTGATGATGCTGGAAAATGAAACTTCCAAGTACATGAAGTGTAAAGGAAAACCTTAAGAAAGGAAGAACAAAGGCTTGACTTTAAATTAATATATGATATTATGCTGTATCCTTTTAACAAATACTAAGGTGACAAGCATGAGTACAGTAACAGATAAATCCAAGTCTGATAAATCCAAGATAAAGATATCCAACAGATAAATCCAAGTACTGGTCCCTAAATAGAAACTGCTGAAATAGTGATGACAGTAAAAGCATCAAATTAAGTAACTGAAACTCACTAGCACCTTTCATGCTAAACAAAGTGCTGTTCTTAAAGTAGGATTACATTTATGTAATCCTATGAGAGATTTATAATCTCTTAGTATATCTCAAAAAAAGGTATGAGAATAAAGAATTTCAACTTTTGCTCTGAATTTTTGCATTTTATGAAATTATTTTGTAATTTTTAGTTAAACAAATTACTGCCTGTTCAGCTAACCTAATACTGTAGTAAAGGAGACTTCTCCCTGGAGCCATCTCCCAACAGCTGATGAGATGGTAGCCAAACCATACTGGATCGCAATTCAGAGGTACCTGCTGCAGCTTCTGCAAGAACCTCCAAACCACACTACCTTTACCAAAAGCAGCACTACCTTTATATTCAGCTAGGGAGCAATATAAAGTCAAAACATTCACTTCACACAGGAGCCGTTATGGACATATAGTATCTTAGCAAAACTCTGCATTCTTAATAATGACAATTCTACAGAAAGTCTTTAAGTTAACAAAAACTCAAAACATCTACATTGTAGACTTATTTAAAGAGCTTGATATAACAAAAAAAACTTTGGAGGAAAAAGTGACTGGGGAAGGTAGGAAAATAACACAGCAAATGTAATTAAATGATACCAAGTAGTACATTTATTTCAGATAGTAAGTCAGCTTCTGACAGTGAGATGTATTAGAATATAGTCTTTGACGGTAAAGGATGGAAGGCAGGCCTGTTGCTCAAGATACTGAACGTTTGTACAGTGCCTAGCACAACGAGGTCCTGGTCCTTAACTGAGGCACCCAGGTGCTCCAGCAAAACAAACACTTTAGGCTTTAGCAGAATGGACTGCATAAGCAGTTCTGAAATGGTGTTCCATGACATGGGCTAAATGACACCTAAGCAGCAGACTTCACCTTTTAAGCTCTGCAAGAGAGAAACTTGGTCCAGTAGGTCTTCTCCAACTCCAGTTTTATAATTCATTCTCCATCTACCCACCCACTGTGCACAGTTAAAGCAATGTTCACTCCTCCACTGCAACATGGTGAGCCTCTAGGAGGAATTATATGATCGATCCCACCACTTCAGTCACCACATATAAGAGGGCGGAAAAAAGAGCAGCTGGTCTCACCCTCCTCTACTCCAATAATAGACTCTGTATCTGGCAGATGCAGAGACTCAACACCAAGGCTGGGCTGAGAGTTCATGGAGATGAGACTCTTACTATGCACTGTAGATTCTTCCAGCAAACTGCTGCCCATCAGTGACTCTGTTGTGAAAAAACCCACAGTAAACCAAAATTTTCGTCACATAATGATACTGCAGTATAAGATAAAAATCCCTGCTCCCCTTCAAGTCACACAGACTTCTTCCCTAGACACTTATCTGTTAGTACTCTTTGGGCATCTGGCACTCCAACGGATAGTAACTTCTATATTTATTGTTTTGAGCCTTACTATAGTGGAATCTCATGCAGGCTTATCTTTCTCTTTAAATAATTCACTTTGCACAGAAAAACAGACTGCTTAAACAAGAATACTGTAACAACAGGCAAGAATTCTATGTAAAAAAAAGATACTAGATTTCTGTCAATTTTGAAAACAATAAAAACCTATCTGCCCCTTGACCACAGTACAGAAACATATCATTGTCTTCTATCCTAGAAAAGGGGAGGTGAGCAAATCTATCCTCATCTCCAAGACAAACAGTCATTTGCTGCTTATTGGCTTGTGGTCTCTTATTTTCAGGACAAACATCTTCCCTTCTCTTGGACCATCCACTAATTCTTCCCCACACAGAGAGTCGTCTCCCTTCCTCACCTGGCTGTTCTCGCTCCCTGCTGCCAGCTGTTCCAATTCGGGAGTGGTGTTTCCTCATATGCACATTTCTGCTACCACTCTGGGAAAATGTCTTCCCACAAATTTGGCATTGATGGGGCTTCACTCCTTGGAGGAAAAGGGGGAAAAAATAGCCCAAGAATTACCAAAATTGCCATATAGACCTTAGCAACCAAGAAGCCAATAATTCTGCTTTGGAAAAAAAAAAAATAATTCCTCTTTCCTGAAGAGCAACAAGCTTCTAGAAGAGAAGACTTCTAGATATCAGTATTACCCAGCTGTTGGAAAAACCAAGTCTGAGGATGGTCTTCCAAGTCTGATTTATGAGAGGGAAGAAGTTATTTGGAATCTCTTATTCAGTGACATGGAAATATTTGATGTCCCATACCTAGAATAAAATGGCCAAAAGAAAGGAAGCAGTGGCAAGGAATCTCTATTCTGCCATCACACAATAAATTGCAGTTACATTACTGAGCAGAGACTGGATGATGACTTGTCACTGTGAAAGGACTTCCATTTTACAGAGCAGTCTGTCATTTTCACAATACAAGTATGATGTCCGTATGTGTGATCTCAATAGCATGGAAGCCAAGGAGACAGGAAAGGAAAAGCATGGAGAATTTGGGCGGTCCCAAAAGTTGCCACCCCAGTAAAACCTCCCTTTCCCCGAACATGCTGTATTCATCACGTGCTGATGATATTTAAGATGGATCAATCAAAACAGAAGGCAGAAGCTTTGAAACATTTATGAAATACATTTCCATCTAATGCTTTGTCCAATTACAAGCACGTAGTATTAAAAAACAATGGAAAACTCCTACCTATGGCAGAAACCCACTCATGAGAGATTTCAGATTTGAATGGCTTTAATTAATATAAAGAGGTGCTAGATTCTCTCTTTTAAATAAGAAAATGACAGCTATGAAACAGATACCCAACTTCACAACATTTTAGAAACAATAAAAAAAAATTGTATTTAGAAACATAAAATTTAGAAACAGAAAGAACGGGAAAGATTAAAGTATACAGGCTACAGCCACCACAAAGCAAGTCATGAAACACTATGACCAGAAGTACAGCAGAAACCAGGGGATTCTTCTTAAGGAAATCAAATCAAAGTTGTACAATAAAGAGCTTTTCTCAGATAGGTCACAAAATGTCAGATGAAGACTCTTACCTGAGTGGACAACCAAATGTTTCCGAAGGCTGGAGTATTCGGCAAAAGAGCGACCACAACCCTGTGCCTCACACAAAAAGGGCTTTTCCCCTACAAAGGAAAAGTATGTTCTTAGATTTTGGGATCACAACAGACTAGCCTGGAGATCTCTACTCCATTCCCCCTTTTGGCCTTACATGCAACAAAGTTCAATGGAACTTACGCATATGCTTCCTAAAGCTTTAGAGGATTCTCTTTATCAGCTTTCAAAAAACACTGACATTCTTTTGGAAATATTCTCAGATCATCATTCACTGAAAGTGAAGCTAGGGTCCACTGCTCCTAAATAGATCTTCCAATAAATATATGAATACCAAAAGATTAATATAAAAGTACCAGGAGTGTTATATATCTTCTATATGAAGTTCTTAACAACCAGTTCTGTGCTTCACACTCTCCCAGGATCCTGTTCTCTTTCTCTGTCTCCATGCCAAAAATCCCATTAACTATATTTCCCTTCATATGAGACTCTATATTTTACTTTAGATCAGACTGAACTTGCCAAAATCCTGTGAGAGATGTGTCAGTCATATTTATGTGTGCAAGAACAGTAATTCAAGGCAGTTTGTTCTCATAGGTTGAAATTTGTTATTTTCCATATATCCCCGCAGCTACTTTTGTATTTGTCTAAATGGTGATAAATTGGGAGGTGACTACACTAATGCAATACAATATGATTAATCTGTTCTAAACACCCTTTTAATAAAGCCTTAAATAAAACTAAAGGTAACTTTTACCTGCAACATCCCACTAAAGAACTTAATATATACCATGTTTAACACTATGATTTCAAGTCTAACTAGACAACGGTATCACAGTTAACAGCAAATCCACCAGAGATTAAGCAAGCCATTTTAGCTATTTTATTGTCTAACACATACATAGTTCTTTCAGAGCAAACTTGTTTTTAAAGATGTTTCTACCGTGATTTTGCCTTTATAAGTTCTCTCCCTACAGTTCATTTATCTACAGCTTATCTACTGTAGCATTCAACAGATCTGAGCAAAAAGGATCAACACAGCATGTTCTGATTGGTGTTACAAGGCTGAAATATGTAGCAGATTCTCAAACACTGATTGTACTTTCTGGCTTGCTAAGAATATTTAAAACTTGGAATGAAGGAAGAAAAACTACCATTGACAAAAAGAGCAGCACACAGTTCCATCCATAAGAAACCCTAGATCTATTTATACCTGCAGTTTTATAACACCTTTGGTCTGGTCATACTTTTAACTGCACATGACCAATTTGCAGTTCAGAAAGTTATTATTTACTCCTCTAGAAGTTACGACTCTGTTGGGTGCAGAATACTCACTCTATCATAGAGGATTTGCATGTGTCAGTTGGGGCTGTTCACTTCATCTGCACCTTGGCTGGGAGCTTAAAGTGCAAAAGAAAACTGTAAAAACTATGGCTGCTGTTACTACACATTCAAAATTTTATTATTGGTATATATAATTTTTAACTACATCCCAACATCTGCCCCCAAACCATGTGTTTGAGCTAGACTGCAAATTCTTTAAAATAGCAACCTTCTTCCCTGTGTATCTACAAACTACACACCATACGGCAGTGTTTAAGTAAGGCAGAAGGCATAAACAGCTGCTGGCGGCCCACATGAGCTGCAATTTCATTTTACTAGACAGGCCTTGTGCTCTTACAGTTGTCAAGGTTATTTTGAAATGTTAACCAACTGTAATGCAATGCTACCTTCCTGGCCATCAGGGAATCTCTAACAATATTCTGAGAGGCTTGAAGTGGGCCATTTAAGTGCTGTGATAACCTAAAGGTTTAAGAAACCCGACGCAAACAAAACCACCAGAATATTCACTATCAGCTTTGCTAACTATTAAACTGGTGATCATTCCAGCAGTAACTTGTGTGCCTCTCAAACAACTTTCTAGGATAAAAACACCTAAAGCACTTTATGCAGTTGTGAAGACTTCAGCTGGTACACCGACTTCTAAAAATACTGACAAGGAACGATCAAATTCTCCAGAGGAGACAGCATAAGCAAACCATGTATAAAATACAGCACTGTGAAATAGAGAGGTTTGTTTCATTTAACATAAAAAGCTAAGCATGAGATGAGAGTACAAAGGCTCCAGCATATGGTAACATCTCGTATTAGCACTAGCACAGAGCACTCTGAATGCCAAAATACTGTTTTCTAGATATTGCCTTTTCCTACTACACTTTGCTACTATACTTTTGCTACTCATTGCTCATTTCCCTAAGTCTCCCAAATGTGGTCATTCTACAAGCAGCACAGGTAACATAAGCTAGTCAGATTCAGCAAGATATCAGTATAGCTACGACTGTGTCCACCAGGACACAACACTGGAGAAGTATCTAAGTTACTGTACCTTTCAGGAATTTAAAAGAGCTTCTTTATAAAAAACAATTACAGCAGTTATGCTTATGAACTATTCCCTTGGGAACAGCCTAGCTTCTCCCTAGAACAATACACACCCCTCCCTTGATCAAAGAACTTGAGGGGAAAAGGAATCTTCAGAGAATGGTCTGAGCAGAGTACAACATCATCACATAGTATTTGAAGGATGAAACCTGTGTGAAACTATACAGGATAGTAAAAGGGTTAAGCATTTGATTCATTTGACCTATAGATTAGTGTGAATTGATAGAAAAGGGACACCAATAAAGGGCAGAGATAACATAATATTCTCAGAAGAAAATGAGCATGGAGGAGAAAGTGGGGTTTATTCCTCAGTAAAGACCCCACCTCTGTGGACCACAAACAGGTGAGGTCTAAAACACACCAGTGTGAATTCGTAGGTGGTTCTTCAGATTTCCAGCTGTTGTGAACTGTTTCCCACAGCCCAGCTCTGTGCATACAAAGGGTTTTTCACCATTGTGAGTCCTCATGTGCACCTTCAGCCTCTGCAAGACGTAGAAACTTTTTCCACAGCCTTCTGCTGGGCAGGTAAAGGAGCGGTCGTTCCTGGAAAGCAACAAAATGGCTGTTTCATTACCAGTGACTGCAATGTATTTTTCATGAACACTTGACCTTTTTAAATTAAAGTGAAATAAATAAATAAGAATTTATTTATTTTTAATTAAATAAAAAGAAGAAACATTTAAACTAAAACTAATTATATCATAAACCAGAAAGACTCAAACAAAGTGAGTGACTAAATTAGAATCATAGAATCATACAATAGTTTGGGCTGAATTAGTCCTAAAGAACTACAGTATGGGTGGTTCACTGAAAGAATCTGTTCAGGTATCTTCTCATTGCATTACCTTACCTATTCCCAACCCAGAATGACTTCGTAAAGTGGTGTAACAAATTATATAGGAACATTAAGGAATTTCAGTCACTGGAGGATCAAAACTTACTGTATGCGCACAAATAACATATGCAATTACTGCTGGCCCTATCTTAAGGAAAGATGATGAGATCATGTCTATTGGAGTTCTTCCCGGTTTTTAAGCTTCTCGTCTACTATTTAACATAGAGACTGACAATTTCCTAGCTAAAAAAGATTAGGGTCATTTGTTAGAGCAAGCAACTTTGATCAAGGATATATAAAAATATGACAGCATCCTACAAGTTCTAACATCCACTATACCACAGAAGTGACAGTGATGCTCTTTACTGAGCACCTGTTAACATACAAATATTCTAAACCAAACACTAACAAAGACCTGCAAAACTCTAAATCTAATTAAAGTGGTTTAACATAAACGACCTAAAGCAAACAAGAGGCCCAATACTTCTAAGAGTAATACCAGGTTTTCAGAGCTTGTCAATGTTGAAAACTAAGGCTATCCCAAATACAGAGCAGAGTTTTTCAATGTCATGACAACATACGGCTTTACTCTGCTCACCGGTGTGTTTTCAGATGATACTTGAAGTGAGCTGGCCACACAAATGTCCGATCGCAGCCCTCAACTGTGCACTTCAGCTTCCTTTCCATGCGAGATAAATGAGGAATGGGGCTGGAGTCTTTTGGCTGCCCATCCCCTGAGCAAAGATGAATATTTTCACCTGGAAGAAAAAGACCACCAAAATCTGAAAATAAAGAGAGATTACTATACTGTTGCAATTTTAATAGATAAAACCAGCATCATACACGATACAGGACAGGACTGGTCAGCAGGTGTGTACTTCGCTACTAATTGTTTACCACATCCTACATACTGCTGCCTAGCCAGTAACAGGGATCAGACACAGGTTTCCAAACCTTATGAGGCCCATAAACTGTTCCCAACAAGCTATCTGTATCAGATCAGCTGCTACCAGATGAGGCTTATTGCAAGAAGAATAGAGAGCCAATGCATCAAAAATTGTAAAAATGGTCTCTGTATCAGTATCTACCAACCAATTATAAGTAGTAGCCAGAACAGCTCTTTTTAAAAAACACCTTTGCTGAAAAAAAAAACCCATCAAAAAATGGTGCCTTTGTTTGCAATTATTTATTGAAAGAATTAAATCACAAAGCATGTGACTAAATACAGTTCTCCAGAAAACTGATCTCCACACCCAGTGGAGCTAAGAAGCGAGTATAAATTGCAGTATGCATTAAAAATAGACACTTGAAAGTGAAAATCGAAGCTGAAATACGAGCAGCTGCAGTCAGAAAGAAGATACTCTTTAGCTGCACTGGAGAACAGGAAGACTACAATGGAACTGCTGGCCCCACTGAAGTTCATTCCCTGAGAAAAACTGAGCAGCCTATTTATATTGCAGAAAAGAAATACATGGTTGTTCTATACGAGTTTGCCACTGATGGTCTGAAGATGTCAGAACAGATTAAAAGCAAGACAGAGTGAAAGAGAGGAAGAAACAAGCTGAAACTTGGTCTTGTATGGAACACTCAACTTGAGACAGAATCAAGGGATTTCCTACCATTATTGCTTGCTTTGGCATTCTTAGCGAGCTGTGCCCGAGTGGCAGCAATTAAACTGTCATGGGCCAATTCTTGCACTCGTAGGAACCATGGGGTATTGCTGTCTGTACTATCATGAGAAAGAAAGTCATTCCCAGAATCTTCTGCTTCATCCTGAACAAACACCAAGTGCTCTGCTGGAGACCCCAGCCCTAGAAAAGAAGACACCTTCATGAAACAGAAAGATAATGTAACAGAGAGAAATTTCTTTTGCTTCCCAGAGGTTAGTGTTCATGGCATGGTTGCAACAGCAGCACTGAAAAAGTCTTCACTGACCTCTATATTGTAGAAAGCTGTTGGTGATTAAATGCTCCTAAAATATCCAATAATGCTCAGCAATTTCATGATCTTTCCCCTTCATAAGCAGCAGAGACAGAGTTTTACTTGTATCTCCTGCATTCTGCTGTCTGAGACATATCCAGCCACATGACAAACAGAAGGAGAATTACCTGCTCTTGTTAGGTTGAGAAGAATAAATGAAGTGCTGTCACTAGGCTGGAGGTCTTGCAATAAAGTGGAAGTCTCTGAAGTTGACAGAAGTTCAGGTGGTTTCTGTACATTCTGTGCCCTTGTTTCTTCTCCATCAGGGCCCACATTTACCTGGAGACTTCTCAAGACAGCAGATGAAGAAACATCTTTGGAAGAATTAGTGTGACTTGGAGAAGTGAGATCTCTTTCATCATCTAGTGAAAAAAGTGAAACCACAGTAAATTAAAGTATAAATACACTATGACTAAAAGACAAAAAACTCAAAAGTTTCAGTCACCCTTCTGAACTCGTTCCTCCATCCCTGGATGCCTTATCAGCAAGAGGCAGTGGGCCACAGAGGCACAGTAAAGACTATGAAAGGCATGCTCACAAAAATCTGCCACATAGATTTTACCTGGCAACATGAGTCTGTTGCATTCTGAGGTCTCAGTAACAGGAAGGAGAGAAAGACAGGTGATGTCTTTTGGCTCCGATTCCACCAGCCCTTGCCCCAGTGGAATAGAAGTATTCTGAACAAACTGAACCAGAAGCTGAAAAAAAACCCATACTGAAGGTTAGGTCAAGAGCAGCACAAATCATTTAAAAAGGTATTAAACCCAGTCTCCATTACCCCCTACTGCCTTGTAGGAGACACTAAATATAATCCCATGAATACACATCAAAGTAAATGGAAGCTTTTCAATTTACATTAATGACAAAAAATGAATTGTTTGTATTTGTCACCTCTGAAGCACCCATAAAATTCTCATTTCTTTAACATACAATAAACAGCTCTGGATCACTGCAGACTACTGTGAAGGCTACTAAGGTTATACTCCTTTTTAACTAGTCTTCTACCCAGACAAATATTACCAATACATGCCATGTTTTAAGGCATATATTCATTTTTACCCCATCTTTTACCACTTAATACTTTACTATGCTCTAGCCTTCCAATTAAATGTTTTTTTAATGCTCAACCTTTGGTATGGGTGCATTTTAAAATCACTGTCTTTAAATACTTAGCTGAAAAGAAAGTTGACAGTTTTTAAACAACAAAAAAAATAAAATAAAAAAAAGCAACCTAAAGACTGGTTGCAAAGAGTATTCAAAACAAGCAGATAATGATCAGGAGAACAAGGCTAGGATGACAAGGGGGAGAACACAGACAACCTTATCCATCCAAATCAATTACTCCTAAAACCATCAAAGACAGACAATGAAAGCCATTGTCCTTAGTGTGAAACCCACCCACTAAGCAGATTCAACGGAAGAAAACATCTCCAGAACACTATGCAAACTAAGGGACACTACTGCATGAAGGGTTATGGGACTCATACTGGGATGCATTCCCTGCGGAGAACTTTGGGACTGAACCAGAGATTTGCAGGATTGTACATGACTTAATATGCATTGTTTAAGGGAAACGCCAACGGCAGGAAAAGGAAGGGATCAAGGTGGATCAGAGCAGAACAAACACAGGAAAATGAAGAGGGGAGGATAAAAGCAGTCCATTACATATAAGCAGGAAGTTGGTCAATTCAATCTGGCACAGCCTCACCATTGCAGTCCATCCTGCCTTCTTATTAAACTGCATTCCTAACTATTTCCTGTGTGATCGTGTGTGTGTGTGTGTGTGTGTGTGTGTGTGTGTGTGTGTCATATGCTAATGAACTCCAAGCCAGACTAGTTGGCAAGCGTGGGACATATCCTGGAGACACCCATTACGGTTTTCTCTAGGCAGAAACCCTAGGGAACAGAATCAGGCACTTTGTGCTGCCTGTTTATGTGGGTAAAGCTCTGAGTGTCCTACCTTTTTTAACCTGTTTGGTGCCTGTCGTATCTGTACAGTGCATGTGTATGTATTTGAAAACTGTACTAAACCTCACTAATGGCTGGATCTAAGATCAGAAACAGGGAGTTGCTCTCATCTTGATTAGCCCAGGAAGGTGAAAGATGCCCAGGTCATTCAGTCCAGCAGATTTGCTATCCTTAATGTCAGCTCTGGCAAGGAAAAAATTACTTCTGGCTAACTCCTTAAAATCTTGAAAAAAAAGAACCTGACATTTGAAAAGGAACTGCAAGTCAGGGAAATGCCTTTCCTCACCCCTGAAAGTCTTCCCATATTTAATCAAGTTCAGAGCAGCAAAGCATGTGCTTGTTTATTCATCCTGTCCCCTTGACAGCATCTCAAGCTTTTGTCAGACTACTGGATATAATGCTGGACTCTTTACCTTCATGGCACAGACACAGAAACAAGCCTCTGGTTTCCACTTCCAGTGCCACAGCAGTCCCTACAAAGTACTCTGGTTTAATAAAGGAAGTGCTGCATGGCGTTAGAAGATAACATAGCCTAACTTTTGCAATGGACTAAACTCATTCCTTATGGACTCCACAAGGTTTATTAAAAAACCTTTGAATGGAATTAACCTTCCAGAGACCAGAGAGACTGAAAGGGGTCAGTTGTAACAGACCCATACAAATATTCCACATTTCAGAGAAAACACCCCTCAAAACCCATATACAGAATTTATTTGGCTTTAAGCTCTGTCAGACAGACTTACCCTATACTCATATTCTCAAAATATTTTGGAAAAAAAACCCAACACCAAACCACCAAAAACCCACAGATGAAAAGAATAATGGAAAATAACAACACCTCAAAAACATAATCCTCAAGTCACTAATCCTTATCTCTAGGAAACTCCTTGACATAAAGATCCTGCACTCTGCTGCTCTCTATCAAACAACTGAATGCAACAGACTTCCTTTATCTTTGGCATTTAGAAGGAAACTACAATATAATTATTCAAAAGCTACTGCCTTCACTGTGACCATTTTAGCATGCATTCACACAAAGCTCAGACAGAGTTGTCTTTGCAGAGATGGTTCATCGGTGTCAAAAGAAACACAGTAAAAAAGCATGATATGCCCATGGTATGTTTGTGATTAAAACCTAACAGTCACTTTTATTCTCATTTTTTATGTTGTGATTGTCTTAGTATTTAATTTGCAGAACTACTGGCACTCAGTTCCAAATTATTTCTTTAGCAGATACCAGCCTTTTGAGTCTCTTCCACATGAGGACGAAGTTCATTAAATCAAAGAAAGTGCAAGGAAAACTTAATAGTTTGGGCTTTAATTTCTCTACACTTATTTCCTCTCATGAAAACACTGGAAATACTGATGCTTCCTCAAACAGTTTTACCTCAAAGAGTTAACTGCTGTGAAATCCCTGAAGCCTTAATTGCCCAGGGTGATTTCACCTGCTCAGGGGTTCAATTTAAGCTCAAACTACATTCTCTAGTCCTTTCCTGAGCTGTAGGTTTATCTGTCTCAAGACCTGTCTCCTGGATGGATCTGGGACTCTTATAGCATCAGTGTCTCTGGTCCTATCTCTGGCTACTTCTGAATGCACTCTCTGGATAGACCCTGGATCTGGTTCATCACTTTGCCTCATCCAGGACAATGGATGGATCCTATCTCCAGCACTGGTCTCTGCCTGACCTGCTCAATGAGGACACCATCTTGGCTTGGATCATTCTTGGCTCCCATATCACCCTCCTTTAGAAGCAGCCTGTCTGATGGTTATGAAGGTAAAAATCACATGTTTAAGTCATTCAGATGGCAATATGCCACAAGTCGATTTGTAGCTTGGAAGGTTAGTGTTTTTCCTCTTAATGTATACTGTAAGTTTATCCTGAGACCCCAGTCAGAAGAGGGAACCATTTTTATGTTGGAAAAAAAATCCATAGGCAATAAGTCCCTCCCCCAGGGCCATGCAGTCTAATTTAAGATTAAAAAATTGGAGAAAGAGGTGTAATAAGAGAACAGAGTAAGTGTCCTGGGTCCAGCTGAACCCAGGGCAGTACGGTATAATAAAGTGAGCCAATCAAAAGAAAGAAGTCGGAACTAAAATATGTGAGCAGCAAGATGGTTCTAAATTACTGCATTGTTTTTCATTTAAAAGCTGTTCATGATTCCTACTGCTGCCTACTTCACCATGAAACACTTGTTCTATGGACTCTTTTGGATTTATACAGAAAATCCTAGATAAAAGCCTTTCTTCCACTTCCAGAGAGCAACAGCAACTCACTAGGGAAAAGCAAAATGCATCAGCCAGAAACAGACACTCAGAAGAAAGGAGATCCTTTACATTTTGTTTGTAAAGTAGTAAGACGCTAGCACAAAGAATTAAAATAGGGCAAAAGACTCAGAAGTAAATAAAATTACATGAATCATGCTCGTTAGTAAAATTTGGAACAAAAACCCCCACCCTTCCCATAAACTAAAGCAAACCAATCACCAACTCTACATCAAACAATTCATGACAGCTATGTACCTACATAAACTTTCCTTCCTGTTCAAAATTATTTAATACCTTTATGACAACTACAGCAACTGGAATACAGGGGGAAAAATCATTACAAACACTGTTTCATGTTTAGTTTCTTTTAATTTGATTTTGCAGCTGAAAGCAAATAGGAAACTAGAGTATCTGCTAGTTGGTTATTCAACATAAGACAGAATAGGAACAGGAGAGGTGATAAATTAAATGTGCAGATACACAAACTAACAAACTGTAGGTAAGAGAGAATAACAAAGACACTGGGGCACTGATGAATGGGCAATTACAGGAACTGCTTGAGTGGCCTTGAAGAAATTCAACCAGAAACTTTGTAAGAAGTGGAAACATTACTATGCTGGGTTACCAGAACACAATCTCATAGGCAAGAGCAAAATTATGGGATAGAGGAGAAATTCGGGGACTAGGTAAAACTTATTAAGATGTCTTAAGAGGAGGCTGTGGGAACATAGAAAAGGTTACAGATATTTAGGAAAAAGATCAAAGCCTGGGAAAGATCAAGGTGGATAGGGAAGGCACAACCATGGGGAACAGGAAGGGGTGGGGTATAATACGTATTGACCACATTAGCAGGCTGCAGGTCAGTATACCACTCCTCTGCCTCATCACTGTGGTCTATCCTGTCCTGTTCTCAAATCCTGTTTGAGCCTAAATAGTTTCAAGTATGCTCATCTCATTAACTTGAGGTTGGACTAGCCTGTGAACAGGAGGAAACCATAATCTGGAAAACAAAGATCCTGGCCAGAGGATGGACTGAAAAACCCAGGGCCTGGAGATGGATACTGGAAGGACTCAAGGTTTGGCAGAGATGGAACAGATGCATGACTGCAAGTCTGCATGTCAGCTGAGTGACAGCATGTATGCAATAGGCTAGCAAATTTCAAGCCTGGTTACCGGACGAGTAGGAAGAGGATTAGGCCATTTGTGGTCTTACTGTTCAATGTGAATGCCACCTGTGGTTTTAGGTGCCTGTAAAAATACTGTTTTGCCACGTTAGTGTTTGCAGCCATACATGTCTGTACTGTCTATGTGTGCATGGACACATATTTGCAGTTCAGGTTAAGCCACACTTCTGTGTGACTTCAGCGGTCTCTTCCCTGATGGACCAGGAGGGGAGACATCTCCTGGATGCTATAGTTTGTCATATCTCAGAACCATGTAATAACTGACACTACAAACAGGATCCAGATGGGCTGTAAGTACTCCTGGCAAGGTGACAATGGAATCCCCATGTAAGGAGGGGACTAATCCTTCTGTAAACATGTCTGAAGTGCAGAAATTTCTAACCAAATAGACAGAACATCCTTGGGCACCTGAACAGGAATAGTTAGGGAAAGTAAATGTACAGACTATTAACAGAACACAAAAGAAATAAAGGAGTGTGAAGTGGCTTTACTCAACAGCCAAGATATCCCTTGGAATCTGGAATAAATTTTGCTATCAATTGCGAAAGGGCATCCTCAACTTAGATATTCAAGCTTCACGGGCCACATGTGAGTCATACAGAGAATCTATAAGCCTTGGAGGGACAAAATGGACAAGTTCAGCTGCATCTTGCTATGAAGAAACTTTTTTTTTTCTTTTTTGGGGGTCTGCTTTTATTCTTCCTGCTGAAAGACGGTAGCAATGTAAACAGTGTATGTACTAAAAATGTAAAATATTTGTTATCTCTTGTCACTGAACAAATAGTTGTCATTCCTGCTTGTCAACAAGTGATAGTTGGACAGGATGATCCTGGGGTCTATCACTGCAAGCAGTGCAGAATGCTTGTGTTACCAAGAAGCTTGGATAATGTCCCCGACCTGGGGGGAGGGAAACTATGAAAAAAAATTAAAGAATTGAGAACCCCTCCTAGAGAGCCTTAGAGAGATTTTTTTTTTTTTTTTTTTATCTTAAGAAAAAAAGGAGAGGGACTACAGAACCAGATGAAATATGGCTGTCTGGGATGGATCAGGTCGAAGTTTGTGTCCTGTAAGAACCCCTTCATCATTATTCAAAAGCCAGGAAGTGCCAGGCAGCTGCTTTGTTTGAGGTGTGGGGGTGGCTGGGAGGGCCAGGGGAGGAAGGTTCTCTAGCACTAACATTCACATCTATCCTCCTACTGGACAGCTGGGGCAAGAGCTGTACTACACTCCCAGAGCAGAAGGGACCATGTTTATAATCGATACCGTTTCTGTTCCAAATTTAACCCGTAAACCACTACAAAACAAAGAGGTCAAAAGAACATTTAGCAGAGAAGAGAGGTTCAGGGGAAAGAGAAGATGAAGGCTGTAGAGGGCAGGGGGCTCTCCTCCATACAAAAAAGAACCTCCTTGTGAGGCGCTAATGAGGAGACAAAAGAGAGGCTAAAATTTCTCCCTCCACCCCTTTTCAATTTATAGATTGGAGCTGTAGGTTGTGCTAAAGCTACCCCCCACAGCTGAAAGCACTCAGCAATGTCCCAGCGTGGTGGAAGTGGCTGTAAACGTTTGCAATTGTAACAAATCACCCCGAAGACTTAAAGCATGAAAAATGCAGATCTTATCAGTTCCCTGAAGAATGCTGGTAACAGAGCTTTGGGGGCAGGGAGTCCAAGAGCAAAAGCAGATCCATCTGTCCATACAAACTGTTTCCAAACAACTTTGTAACTTCCTATGAAAGGGTGATTCTCCTCTACTTAAGTATTAAATGTTTACTAGCATGTAGGTGGCTTAGGGGTAAAACCAGTCACGAAGAAGCTTATGCAATCTAGCCATAGTGCTTTTATTTATATTAATCTAGATGTTACACAAATACAGTTAGCTTTTAATAACAGCTTTCTCACATGGTAGGGGATATAAGTATCTATAAGAATTATGGTGCCATGGCTCACCAGAGGATATAAAATAATGATTGACTTTTAGAGATACTTGAACTGCTATTTGGGAAAGGTGTAAAAAAGGTTATCTACCAGTTCCACACCAAAGGAATAGAAAATAGTGCAAATTTAACAGTTAACTTTCACAATCGGAACCAGAAAAAGGGTGTGTGTAATTTGGTAATCCACAATGCAAATTAATCCCAATTTGTAGTATAAAATAGCTTTGATCAAGATTGAGGAGTGCAACTCAGAAGACAGCATCTGACAGATGGAAGACAGAAAGGATGCCCTCTGAAACCACAGTAGCTTTCATGCATCAGGCCAGTTCCTAGTGAAGAGTGGCCTACTCTGTTCTGGGCTTGCTGCGAAGGCAATGCAATTCTGCTGTGAGAAAATAGGACTACTATGTAAACATGCCTAATTAACAAATACTTCACTCAAGTCCAGATAAGACAAGGCCTATTTACAGCTCCTATTCAAGGAACAAGCATTCCAACTAACGCTAACCCTAACCCTAACCCTAACTCTGACCCTTGGCTATCAGAACTAATCTGTGGGAATCTACCCACTCACTTATAGACTGTAGTAACAAAATGCCCCCCCTTATCATTCAGAACTGGGAGAATATTTGATAGGCTTTAGGAAGCAAGAGAAAGGAACTCCTTACAGCCCATGCTGAGACCCCTCAGTACAAGTATGAACTCACAGCCATATATTTTCCTGAATAGTGTTAACTGGGCTTTGGCTGTTCTGTTAAGAAACGAATAACACATCACCTGGGCTGTGATGAGTATGTAATCTTCATTCACTTTAGAGTTCCAGTTTAAGATACCTGCTGCATTGCATATGGACTTAAAAGGACAGAAACAGAATACTTAATAAAAATAATCCGATTTAAACTTGCAAACTTCCCCAAAAGGTACTTCACTGCAGTGCTAAACTCTTAAGACTTCTGAAGGGGTAAAGCTGACACAAGCAAGGACACAAAATGATACAGTCCTCTGCAGTCTTAAGCAAGGAAATATATAGATTACTGGCTAATGGCTATTCAGCCTAAAAGGCAAAGGCAAGAAACAGGAGAGGTAATAAACTGAACACACTGATACAACTGTGTTGAATATAACAACCTGTAGACTGTTGTATCTAGCAAATTATAGGTAGGAGTAACAAAGACCAGAACTCCTCAGACATTCATCAACAGGCTACTGCTGAAGTGAAACCTTGAAGAGGTTTATCTAGACCTTTGGTAAGAAACCAAAACTGTCTTGGGTTATCTGAATGGGTCTAACAGGAAAGACCAAAGTTGTTACCTGATGTAACAGGGACTGGAGGATGTAAAGAACTTAATATGCAATGTTTAAAGGGAGGATCAAAAAATGAATCAAGGTGGGTATGTGGAGAAAGAACCATGGGTAGTGGGGAAAGAGGAGATTCCAGTAATGTTTGCTGGCTGCTGGTCTGTACACTGCTGTATCTGATCACTGCAGTCCCTTCTACCTACTTATTAAGCATATTCCTAAATATTCTACCCACAAGTGAGTGCACTGCTAGTGAGCTTCTAGTTGACTGATGTGTGAGGAGGCAACTACAGCCTGGAAAAACCTGATTACATCTAGAAATTGTTTTTTTAACCAGCGCCGGGTGTGGGCACAGGTAGAAGAAAGACTTCAGGCCTGGCAGAGACCAGAAACATCTGTGAATGTGAGTATGCATGACTGCAGTGATGAGGACATAAATACATTTCATTAACAAACTTCAGTGTTCATGCTGTTTGTATTTACATCTTAAAGGTACTTTAAGAGTGTACGTGTTAATTGGTTTGTGGCCTGCTGCACATGCACTTGCATGCATATGCAGACATCACTGCAAGCCATGCTCAGCTGTGCTACGGGCTGAACCTGGAATGGTCCAGCAGCCTTACACCAAGCAATCAGAATCACCCCGGGTGCTGCTGCCTGCCACTTCTGCCACTGCTTAATGGAAGCACAGGTAGTTTAAAAAACAGAATTGGCTGATGCTTACAGAATAATCCAGACTTCCCCAAAACAAGTCAAGTCAATCTGGTTTGAGGGAAAGAAATAGTCAATATAGTAATTTATTTTATTCTTGTATCAGAATGAACATTGTAATAGTGGGGAAAAAAAATAATGTAACCTGAGAACAAGCAAGAATATTGGCTGACAATTTACGAGGGATGGGGAGGGGAAATCTGCAATAATCTTTAATCTCTTCCACTATTCAAATGAAAACATGGAAGCATTAGAGATGCCACTGAAAACACTTGCAGAATTAATATGTAAGCAGCAAACTGAGTATACTCATTGAACTTTTTCTAAGTGTTGCACATAAATGCTGCTGGGCACTAAAGCCACTTCATCATTGCTCACCTCAGGTTTGGATTCTAACTCATCCGATAACATTGATTCAAGTGTCCGATTTCCTGCAGCTGTCCTCAGCAAGGCACAGAGTATTTTGTATTTTAGTTCAGAGAGAACAACAGTCCCTGGTTATTCTCATATTTTCCTATGTGTGAAACAGTGTGGTGGTCCTTCTGCAAGAAGCTGTGGTGTACAAATATTCAATTTAACCTAGGAAAACAAAAAGGAAAAATAAAGAGATAGGAACCAAAAAGCAAAGTGAAAAGAAGAAAGATGCTGCATGTAATTGTAAAATATATACTTTGAAGTACTGGGAAAACTCATTTACCTGATTCTTGCATTTGCATTGTCACTGAGTCAGCAAAATAACATCCTAACATTGTGAAATCAATTTTCAAAGGCTATCTACCACATTTTATTCAAAATAACATTTTAATGGAAAAATGGATTATTTGTTGTGGAAACTTATGGGATCAACTGAAAATCACATCCAGTGTGCAAGAGACAAGGGAGCTGAATTCTCAGCCTGCAAACCAGTGGAACTGTCCAAGTTGTAGATGAAAGGCAAGTGTATACAAACAACCTGACACCAGAAAATCTCTGCTTTTCCTGTCACTACATTTCTGATTGTGAAATACCTTGATGAACATAGGTATGTTAGAAGTTACTTCACAAATAACCACACAATGTTTCTTATTTGGGCTAAAAGGTAAAATGAGAACAAGCTGGTACCTGGTTTTGCCTACTGGGAAAGCACTTGGACACTAGCGGTGGGAGAAGAAAGTGAGCCATGTACAGTTCTTTCCCTCTTCCATCACAATTGATCTATTGACTATATTAAAAAATAATGAGAATAAAGGATCAGCTAAAAGAACCCAGACACCTTCGTCTAGCACTCCTCGCACTAAGAAGTGCAGCACAAGATACTCTGTACAGGAGCCTCCCCTTCTGCCATGAAGGGCCAAGATAACGAACACAGCTAAAGTGGACTGCTCCAGGCCAGCGCCCCCAAGGCAGGGCTCGGGAATATTTCCGCCTGTTCACCCGTTTCCCCCTCCAGCTCGCACCCGGGATGGCGGGCCCCGAGCGATGGCGGGCCCCGAGCCATCCGCGGGGTAGACAGCCGGAGCTGCCAAGCCCGGCTGCCAGCACCCCTGCCGGGGGCACGGAGGTAGCCGGGAGGGGGGCGGTGGGAGACCGACCCTAGCACCGCGGGGCAGGGTGGAAGTGCCGAGGCCTCGCAGAGGCAGTGCCCCTCCCCCACGCGGGCAGGTGCGCCAGCTCTCCCCCACGGCGGGGGTCGGTCCTTGGCCGTGAGGCGGGGCTGCCGGGGACAGGAAACCCGGGCTGCTCACAGCTGCCTCCCGGCCCGCTGCGTTCCCGTGACGGCTGAGGGCGGCGAGCCCCAGAGGAGCGCCCACCGCCCACCTCTCCCCGCCCGCCTTACCGGCATCTCAGCCGCCCGGATGTGACGAAGACCCCTGCCGGAAATGCCAAAGGCTCGCGGGGTGTGCGCGCTTCCACTCCCCCCTGCTCCAGGCTCTATAGCGAGCGCTGTGCTGAGCGCCACTTCCGGCCGTCGCCGGTGCCCCCGCCCCGCCAGGCCGCGCCAGCTGCCCGGGCCCAACAGCACCGCCTCCCCTAGGGCCGTCCCACCGTTCTTGCCGCGGCGGTGCTTTTCTGGGAGCGATCGCGGGTGTGATCGTGGTGCTGTGCGGGAACCTCCCCCCCTCCGCCCCGAGAGCGGGGTTGGGCTAGTTCACTCAGCCCTGCAAGTTGGGGTTTTCCCCAGTGCCACCGGGACAGTGCCAGGGCTGCAGTGCTCACCTGCAGCCTGATTCCTCTTAAAATAACCACCTGATACACAGAGTATTTTACAGGTGAAGATTATGGAGGAACCTTTGGTCTTGCAACCCCGTAACTCCTCTTTTCAACATGTTTGTTACAGTGCATGGGGAAGCACCAGTTCCCTACTAGTACTTGGTTTCTGTTTCTGCTTTGCTCAGACTCAGTGCATCTGTTCTTGCAGCTCGTGACAAGAGAACTCCTGAGCTCACAGCAACTCACTGACAACACAGAACAAGGCAGCAATTCCAGAAACGTGGTTAATAACATAGGTAAAACCCAAGGAGGGCCTGAATAACTCAAAAAGCTTGTGCTTTGGCTTTTGTTCATCAGCCATATCCTGGTGTCTGTAGTGGGCAGGACAGAGCTCCTGAAGCAGCAAGGTTGGTAGTGTCTGGTCTTGATGTGTGCTGCTGAACCAGTGACCTTCAGGTCCAGTAAACTTTTAACTTGGTTATGGTTAGTCCATAGCTCTTGAGCCACGCGTGACCCCTGACTTCCATGCCAGAGCGGCTGCTCATGGGGTGATGCTGGCGCTGCTGAGCAATGGGACTCCCAGCAATGTGAAAATCATGGAACAGGAGCAGTTGAGGCTGGCAGAACCAGGTTCCCAGGGTCCCTGGGTGCAACAGCCACACTGGACTGTGCGACAGCCTGTGGTCACTTCCCAGGAAATGAAGATCAGCCCCTGCCTGCAAACTGCTCTGCAGTGGTTTCCTCCAGGATGTGCAGTATAGCTCCGCTGCCTTTCAGCCAACTTTGATATGCAGCTTACAGATTCACAGTTACTCCCCTTAGCTTTAGAACTCTCTGTGGCTTGACAGAGGGCTGTGAGCTGTAGTAGTCATACTGAGAGCCTGGTGCTTCAGCAAAAAGGCCATTGACCAGCTGCCTGCTGGAATCACTGAGGAACTCCCTACAGGCTGCAAGCAAGTCAGATGCTCATCATTTTGTGAAGTATTATCAACTTGCAGTCGCTGCATTAGTACTAACAAAAGCTGGCACCATGAAATCAACTCACAGTCAAACCAAAGCACATTTCTGATGTCCAAGGCAGGAAAAACTGTGATTCAAGGCCCAGAATTTGCAGCTTCTGAGATCTGATTGCCTCAGTGCCACACCACTCATGCAAATGGCTTGAGCCGGGAAACCTCGCCAAGTCCAGCATTTATAATGTCAGCCCACTTGACCATAGATGTGATGATCTGAAGCTTTAGGTTACTTTATTCACTTGAGCCTACAAAACTGAAGATTACCCAAATAAGATGGAGTTGAGTAAACGACCATGCAACCGTCACAGTTATAAACTGTTCACTGGCACAATCCCAGCAGATTTGAAGACCTGATACAACCCAACAAAGGCAACCAGAAATGCAGGACTATTGACTTTATAGCCCATTTTTTTCTTTATGCCAGTTTGGTAATCCCAGGGCAATGAATCGTAAAGCTCGATTCTGTTACATTAAGACACTTTGTAATCTCAAAAGTCCTTTGACTCATCATCAGCTCAACAACCTGGAATTGTTGAGTAAGTAGTAAAATCTGGGGACATATAGACATGCAAGTTCCTTTCATTTGTATCCTTCTGGGCCAGGTGATTTTGACTGCTTCAGAGCTTACATCTTGACTGCCTGGGGGATTTCCCCTAATCTGACAGGGGAACCTGCAGTGGGAGTAGCACAGTGCTTACCTGAGTTGTTTGTGCAGATCCAAATCACTTGTGCAGGTGTGTGAAGCCGCAGTGGTTCCTGAAGGGAGAACTGTCCAGCTGGGAATTTCCTATGGTCTCAATTTCTCAATAACATCTGCCCCTCTGGGATCATTCTCTGTAATCAAGGAGAAATAGAAGACTTAGTCACAGTTCCTCTATGACCAGATTCAAGAAAAGAAAAACAATACTGGGGTTCCACCCCTGCTGTGATAGGGGTGAGAAAATGGCCAGTCATGGAGGACAGCTTAAAATCTGATTGTTGGTAAGGTTGTTCACAATGGGACCCTATTCTGAATGCAAAGAGGAGCCTGAGCTTTATTTCTCTTATTCCATCTTTTGTTCTTTCATGTGTACATTTTTGTACACTCACATATAACATTGTTATATAGTGATGTACACTGTTCCAGGATACTGACAGTACTAAATTTTATTTCAATGAGGCTTTTAGGACTGTAAAACTTACATATGAAACTGCAATTCACTTCGATGTTCAGCCTTTGCAGCATCAGTATGTGACAGATTTTTAAATTCTCTCAAAAGCCTGCATGCACAAGAGACGTTATCTTTACACACTTATAGCTGACATTGGCATGGCTATTACAAAGCAGAGTTTTACGAAACTGAGGGAGCTAGGATTTGGCGCATTTCCTCATGTGTCCTTTCAGGCGCGTATACAGCTGTGTCACGTGCCGAACTCTGCTGCTCTTCGCCTTTCCTGCGTAGTCAGCGCGTTTGCCGTGGCGGCAGCTGGAATGCTGCTGAGGTAATTTCGCTGGCTCAAAGGCGTACGTGCGCCCAGAGGAGGGCCCTGTCGGCGCCGCCCGATACGCTTCCCACCCAAGTCCTCTTCAACACAAGCGCCGGGGGCAAGCGCGGCCAGCGGCGACTCTCCCGCACACTGCCCCCGGCAGCGCCCAGCTCTCCCACAGGGGTCGGCGATGGCTGCGGATCCGCCCCCCGGTCAGCCCGCCGCACTGCGCTGAGACGAAGAAGCCGCTGTGGGGAGCCGCGCCGCCGGCCCGGCCCGCAACACCTCAAGGCGCAGTACCGGTGGGCACCCACACACCCTCGCTCCGCTCAGCCACTCAGCTGCGCTTCAGCCCCCTATTCTGGGTTATGCTACGGGGCTAGGAGGAAAGCACGCTGCTTCCACCTCGAGCTGTCCGCAACTCGCTAGCTCCGCTGCGGGACGCAGCTGTGGGGCAGCACACCGCAGCCCCCACCCCCGGCACAGAAGAGTTAATGGCTAACGCCCCCCCTCGCGGAGGCGGTTGGGCCGGCTCTGCCTCCCATTTGAACCGTGGCACGTTCCATTCCTCCTGCGGGGTAGCTCCTCCATCCTCCTCTGTGGCGTTTCTCGTGGTTTTGCAGGAACAGAAGACGGTGCCGGAAGCGTGTTCATTAACCACCCCCCTCCGGGCTGGGTGGTAGGGCTTACGCGGCGCCGCGCGGGCGAGCGGTCGAGACCCACCTCTCCCCCTTTCGCGCCCCTCCCCGCCTCGCTGGGCGGTGGTAGGGTCCGCTCCGCCCCTCGTACCCCCCGGCGGTGGCGGGGGTGGTGCGTCCCGGCAGCAGCCGCGTCCCGGCCGGCGCCCGCCCCCTCCGCCTTGTCATTGATGTTGTTGTTTTTGTCGCAGGAGCTGGAGGCGAGGCCGGGGCCGCCGCCTGGGGCCACCGCAGCGGGGCTCGGGCCGGCGCCAGGCATGTCGGTGTGCGGGGAGGCGGTGGGCGCCGGCTCCCTGCCCAGCGAGCTGGTGGTCCACATCTTCTCCTTCCTGGCGGGCCCCGACCGGCTGCGGGCCTCGGCCGCCTGCTCGCACTGGCGGGAGTGCCTGTTCTACCCGGCCCTGTGGCCGCGCCTCCGCCTCAGCCTCCGCGTCTCGCCGGCCGAGCGCCCGCGCCTCGAGTTCCTCATGCGGAAGTGTGGCTGGTTCGTCCGTGAGCTCCGCGTACAGTTCGCCGCCGACAACTACCCCAGCGGTGGCGGCGGCGGAGGGGGGGCGGTGGTAGCGGCGACGGCGAGCGAGGGCGCCGCCGCGGCGGGCGACGGGGAGGCGCCGCCGCTGTGCCCGCGCTGGCTCGACCTGCTGAGGACCTACCTGGAGCTGGTGCTGTGCGTCCTGAGCAGCGTCCGGAACAACAGGTACCGCCGCCAGGACAGGGCAGGGGAGCGGGCCGCGCTTCGCCCAGCGGGAGCGTGAAGGGAGGCAGCGAGGGAAGGGGGCAGGCGGAGCGCAGAATCCCCTTGAGCCACGCGGGGCCCGGGCCCGGCCGTCCCGTCCGCTTTCGCGGGAGAGGGCGACGCCCGCAGCCGGCAGCGGCGTCTGTGGAAGACCCGCGGCGGCCGGTTCCTGCTGGGGCTGCGCCCGGGGCTGCGGGGGGTAAGGCCCGCTTAGCCCCGCGCTGCCGGCCCCGGAAATCCTGATGTTTGTGCGACTGCGAGCTGAGCAGAAGCGGAGACGCGGTGCTTCGCACTGCCCAATTGTTGTTCTCTTCTATAGCTTGCTTGATAGGGAATATAACCGCAGGCGTTTAGTTGGCAAGCGGCTAGTCAATATGCGAAACAGATGTAACTGCAGTAAGAAAAACTCCTTCGTCTTTCCGAAGGAGGGGGGAATGCAACTGCCGTGAAGCGAGTAGGAGCCGGGAGTTTGAATTTGGTGCCTAACAAGGCACCTTTCTCACTTTAAAATAAGCCTTACTAGCGACAGGATTTAGACCTCTTACGCATGACTGAAAAATAATTAATGCCGCGAGAAATTAGAAGGAAGATGAAAATGGCATCACTGGTGTCTTTCAAGACTGAGAATGATGGAGTACTGCCCCAGTAAACACTTTCACCTTTCTAGCTATGAGGGATTTTGCTGTTGAAAACCTGAGCTTTCATGCCAGTTCTCCTGTTGCAGGGCTAAACTGAGATCTGACTCAGTTTTAAATAGGAGGAGATTTGGTTTTGTTTGAAAAAATACTTCAGACGTAGGATTTTCTTGACCAAATTGAGCTTAAATGATAGAAGTATTTTCCTGTTGTTTGGACTTAAGATGTGTTTAGATCCTGCTTTTTACAGACTTACTTTCGCAGGCTAGGTAATTTCCGGAGGTTGGAGTTCTTTAAAGTGAAACCACTTGCATTCTCTTTGTCGCGTGTGGGTGTGATCAAGATAGGTATCTTTTTAAAAAGATAATAATCAGATATCTTAATGTATGGCCTCCAGTCAGCGCCTAGACAGGAAAACAAGGCTGTTAGGTTGTGATGTGTTTGGAAAGCCATACAGAGTTTAGGGTAGGAAATGGTTAATATTGCCTCCCATCTGTGTGCATATAGCTTCACTTACCAAGGAAATTAAAAAAAACAGACCCAAAACTGCATGTATTTTAAGGTATCTTTAGGAAGTGTTAAACACTGTGGATGGCCTTTGGAAAGCTGCATATATCTGAATTATGTATGGTCTGATCACACCCCTCTTTGATTCTGGATAGATTAGAGCATAGTTTGAGGCCTTCCTTGCTTCTTTATTTTGAATTGTAGCAAGAGGACTTCAAATAATTCCTCGTTGCTTTGAGCTGAAAGCAAATGTAGTATGTGAAGTCACACTTTCAGTTCCTCTGCTCTGTTGTGCCCAGCAGGTACTTCCCTGTGGTGCAGCTGTGATGGCTAAGAGTTACAAACCTTATTTCTGAAAACGGCTCGTGGGTCCCAGTTCACTTTAGTCTTCATTTATTTCTTGCCCAGCCAATCCTCGGTATGCAGATCATGATCATTTGTTTTGTTTGGGCTTCTCTTGCGTTTAAGGAGCTTTTGCTGAACTGTTGAATCTTTGGGAAATCCAGCTAATGTCATAAATGGAAACAATGTTGAAGTGGTGGTGGTGGTGATTATCTGATCTGAGACAAGTATCTTGGACTACATGGACTTGAAGTTTTAAAGAGTGCTTGCAAAAGATGTTGCCTGGAGTTTTGTTGGAAAAACTAGAATGCTTCCCCCCATCTCACTAAAATATGAGGGTGTCAAAGTTAAATGCCTTGTGAGATGGCTTTTGGTACACCTTTTCCTCTGAAAAGGACAGTTGCTTTCGAAAGTTCTTTTTACAGGTTCTCTGTGCCCAGTGTGGATCAGGACTGCAGTAAATATGATGTAGAAGTAGTTGTTTCTCCAGTACCTGTTTTTTGGTAGATTAGTATAATTTTGGTGGTAAGCCAGGGGTGAAAAGTTACCATTTTGATAAGAATTTGCGTTGCTGTGCTTTTTTGATGTCTGCAAATCATTTGCACGCTGCTCTTTTGTTTTGAGATGAATAATGTATGACTTGGGAACAGAGGGTACCTGGTTATTACAGCAGGCGCTTTATGAGTGTTTAAAAAATTGGGGAGGGGGTTTGCATTAAACAGTTGAGCTTTTATTCATTTTTACTTTCTGAATAGACCAATTTTCCTCTCCTCGAACAGACAGAGGTTTTAGTTTATTTTGATGTATTTTTTTTCTTGCAGGGTAACTACCGATAACCGATTGGTTTGTATGTAGAACATTGGAACATTGTGTTTTAGCTCTTTAAGGAGAGCTTTGGGAAGGAGCATTAGCATATTGCACATTGCTGCTTAGTTCTGACTGTGACATGTCTAAACCGGAGGCATTGTCATCTGCCTGCTGCTTAGCTTTGTCAAAGGGATGACCGTGGCCCAGTCACTTTATTTCTCTGCTTCTGTTTATTCATCTGTAATGCAGGGATAATTAATAATTCCTTCCTGTGTTTGCCGTATGTTCCTGTACGTGGGATAGCTATTCTAGTTTCCAAAATGTTGGAAAAAGCAGTGTTTTTAAATTCTGGAGTGGCTGAATCACTGTAAATGCATTCCTTTTGGAATTAAGTTTAAAACAGGATGGTTCTTTCATAACTCCTGTTAGCCCTTATGATAGCTTTTTGGCAGAGAAGTTCAAAGAACTTCCATCTGATACTTCAGAACTGGGAAGGAAGAAACGTACTTCTGTGAAATGGTATGCTGTTTCTTAACCTTGTAATCATGTTGTGGGCTTTTTAATCTACTATTAACACAGTAACACGCACACTCCTTCCTTGCAGGAAAAAAAAAGTACTTCAGATGTCTCTAAAATTCCTTGAGGATTTATAGTACCACTGGACCTAAGAAAAATAATGAGTAAAAGTAATGTAATTTCTAAATGCTCTCTAGGGTAGAGGAGAACAATGTGTATTTTTGCTAGGAAAAGCATTTTCTGTACAATGTAAAACTGCTAATTTCTAAGCAAGTCTGCATATTAAATCTCTAGAAAAATATTTCAGCGTGGCCTTTGCTAATTCTGATGGAATTAAGGCAGTAGCTGGTTGTCTGCAACTTGGTTTAAAAACAACTGAAAATACTCTGAGTGTTGCTGCTGACAGGCAGTTATAATCCAAAAAGGTATGTTCTAGTATACCTGTCTTGTATTTCAGGTAGAGCTCAAGTCACCAGAAACTTTATTTTGTGCTTATCAGCATATTACTCCCAAAATATTGCTTTAATCGCGCTGGAACCGCTCTAAAAATCCGTAATTTATTTAATTATAAACCCTACTTCAGTAATGTTTAGTGATCTGTAACTTTCCCATGACCTGTTATATTTATGACAGTAAATGAAGCAAAGTAACAAGGTATATTATTGCTGAACAGTTGATGTTATTCCTATAAAAAAAAAAAAACCAAACCGAAGGGGTGTGTGTTGCCATAATGCTCTGTGGCAATATTTGGAGGGACAGTTTGTTTGCTTAGTGGCTCTTAAGAGATCCTAGTAATCTGTGTTGCCTGAAATTGATCTTTCAAAACTAAGTTCTAGAAAGCAGGTGGGAGAGTGACGTTGCAGTGCATAGAGCACCTAATAAGCACCTCCTGGTTATTCAGGAGAAAAAAATCTGTGTTCTTTTATGCAACTCTGAAATCCCAAAGTATGGTTTCTCCTTTAGCTGCTTACAAAGAAAGATAGGAAGGTAGTAACATACACTCCCCCCTCCCCTCCCCCCCCTTTTCCTCTGCAGTGTGTTCATCTGTGTGACCTGTTTGATCTTTGCTGTGGAAACAAAAATGCAAGATTATAGTAAAACTGTGGTATCTTGGTAAAGTGTAGTATCCATCTCAGAGTTACCGAAAATTGGTGAGTGGCTGAAAACAATAGACTGCATCTCTATTTGAGGTTTTGTAATGACTCTTTTCTGTTGGTCTGAG